CCCGCCCCAGGCTGGCCCAGCCTGCTCACCATCCTGCAGCGTGGTTACCGCCTCTGTCTCCGCGCTGAAGTCGCTGTCCCCGATGTCATTGGTGGCTTTTAGGCGCAGCTTGTAGGAGGTGAAGGGCCTCAGCCTGAAACACGAAGAGCCCGTGGCTGCCCGGATTTCCCCCTGGCCTCCCTGGGGGGTCTGGTGAAGCCCCAGAGGGGAGGTAGATGTCTTCCCTGCCCCAGGCACTCTGGGCTTCCTGTGACCCTGAGCAGAAAGGAGGCTTGTCTAGGCAGAGTGAATCACTCCTGGCAGCAGTGAGCTGGGTTTAGGGGCCTCCAATATTGTCCAGGGAGTGGCCACAAACAACAAGCACCATCTAAAGGGCCTGCCTAGAGAGAGCAACTTCCCAGATGGGAGAGGAGGACAGAACTTTCTGGTCCCCAGCAAATCACTGCTCTGAGAAACTCAGGGCATTTCTCAGGGTGACTCATTACGTCAACCCTGGCTCTTGTCTAGAATGTAAAGTGAGTGCTGCCCACTTCACCCTCGCCCTCACTCTTCCATGCTCAGTGGAGGGCTGTACTGGTCAGCCTTCACCTGCCTACCTCACCTCTGCCTTTATGGAGGCAAAAAACAGTGCTCAGCACTGACAAATATGACCCCACTGAGCTCTGAGGGGCGTTCAGTCTTATGCCGGAGAAAACACAGGCGAGCTAGATGAAGTCCTTTCCCACTGCCAGAGGACTGGTGCAGGGCTTGGCTTAGATTGGAGTCAGGGTCTTGAGGAACATGCACACAGCACTCTGCCATCCCTGTGGAGAGCTAGGGACATCAGTCCTCCCCAGAGGCCCTGCTGAGTGCTGCCTCCGCAGCCTCCTTCTTCCCTCCTCCGACGTCCGTCCCTGTACCCACCTGCTCTTCCTTCCAGCCACCCACAGTGCTATGCTGCATCTGCTGGGCCTCACACGCCCAGGGCTGCGCCACACGGCAGTGAAGACTTCAGCCCCCTCTGCACAGACAGCGCCCAATCTTCACCAAGCCCCACGAACTGCACTTCCAAATGCTCACTCACCCCCTCTTCGTACCCGTCCAGCCAGACCCTGTTGGCCGTCCTGCATGTTACTTCGACGGAAGCGGGCCTGGGAATCACTCTCCACCCCTCCTCCGCCCACCCAGCCCAGCAGCGGGCTGGCTGCCTATGGGTCTGCATTCCTCGTTTCCCAGACCACAAGGCTGCGGGACTCTGGATTCCACTTCCCCTGTCCCTCAAGCCCAAACGATCTCTATGTCTCCTCAACCACCAGCCTGGTAAGGCCCTCTTCACCGCCAAACCGACCTTCTCTCCTCATTCCCAGTCAAACCGATAAACTAGTGGTTTTCAAACTGAGCACTGCCGAGCCCTCCAGGCGACCAGGGTCCCCTTCCCTTTTATCTATTTCCCTCTGGTTTCTGATCTGGCTCCGGGTGAGGCTTTGTTTGGAGAAAGCATTCTGCTTTTCAAAATTCTGTAACCATTTCTGGGAACAACGATCATAAAAATTCCTTCTATCCTGTTTTCATATTGTCTCCCGCTGAAGGGCGGACGGCAGGGGCCGGCTAAGGCCTCCAGGGCCGCTTCTCTTTCGAGGCCTCCAGAACCTAGTCTCTCTGTGACAGGGGACAACCTTGTCTTTACAGGAGAAGCTTCTTAAAATTCCATTAAGAATAGTATTTTATGCAGGTTTTGGGGAGCTACCTTTTATTAAGTAAAAAACAAAACACAACTAAAACAAAAACAAAAAACCCAACAACTTCCTATTTGTTCCTGGAGTCTAGAAGTTATTTTTAGCTGATTTCGGCTGCGACTCCCTGCCCCACGCAGCACGACTGCTGGGGGTAGCTCCCTCTGCTTCTCTTATTAGAAGGTAGCACCGCACCTGTGAGGGCTGTGAGCACCGAAACCCAGGGGCTCTGTTTCTAGCTTTCAGCTAAAACCTGGGCACTCGCCTTGGCTTCCCTCTCTGAATTGATGCAGCACACACTGTGAGGTGGCTGCTGGGCTGCAGGTCAAGAGAGCCCTTGGGGGCAAATGGGAGCGCCCCGCACCCTGAGAGGCGCCCGCCAGTGGCTGCCAGGAAGGCTCTTCCAGGTAGCAGCTGCATGGCTAGGGTGCAAGCCTGTCCCTGGCCACTGTCTTCCGTGACCTGCCCACTTCTCAGCTCCTTCAGCACAATTTGTAGTGAACTGCCTCTTTCACGACTGTCGTCTTTTTAAGATGCAAGCCTCTGAGGATGGGGACTAAACTGGCCTCATTTACCGTGACACCGAGGGCCCCGAGCGTGCTCAGGGGGGACCTGCTGAGTGAACGAACGAATCAGGCCGGTGTCTATCTCAATTTTTTGAGAAGGCTGAGTAAGAGGATGGGTAAATATCAGCACAGTGTCTGACACACAGTAGGTTCTCCAGAAAGGACCCTCGTTATTACAGTTAACATTTGTATTTATTCAGGACATTATTGTTTGGAACAGTTCGGGCATATGTTATTTATCACCTATTTAGTAACTCACTGCTCTCTAGTATTTTGGGATTTGAGCCCAGATGCCAAGTTCAGTTGAAGTTCATTGATGACCACTCTTTCTCTCTAGTCCTGTGGGGTCTGAGGAACTGCCACAGAGTAGGTGTGCGGTCAGGCTGTCAGAATGAATGAGGGGCCCAGATGGGGTGTCGTGTGCAGAGTTCCTCGAATCATATCTGCGTTGGGCCAGGCTCACCTCACTCACTTGCTCACTTGCAAGGCTGGTGAACGGTTGGGATCACAGGTACAACTAAGGCCAGTGAGCAGGAGGAGTCTGCCCTCCAGGCAGGAAGGCTGGCCAGTAGGTCAGGGCCACGCAGTGAGAGGCCTGTGCAGTGGTGCTGCCTTCCCTGGTGCGGCTCTCCCGGTCTCCTGGCCCAGTGCACCTTGCGCTCGCTCACCCAGGCCCCTCATGACTCGGGGGAGCTGCTCCTTTACTACTGGTATTTCCTAGCCCTGACCTTGGCCCCCAGTCTACTCCCTGCCCGTGATGCTCCTCTCCTGGCAGCCTGGGGCTTCAGTGACTGCTGGGACACGATGGGAACAAACCATCCTGATGTTCTCCTTCAACGGCTCTGGTCCCCCGTGCACTCTGTGGGCTCTCCAGGCCCACTCAAACCTCTGCTCTGGAATTAGCCACACCAGACTCACGGTCTGGCCCTACCACTTCTCACCTGGGCTCAGTTGGTTAAAACACTTCTCTGAGTTTCACTTTATTCATCTATAAAAGGTACCTCCCAGGGATGTTGAGAAGGTAATTTGCACAACCCAGCCTTAGGGCGCCTGACAGGTCCTGGCACACAGTAGGCAATTAATAAATACTCCTTTCCTCTCCTTCCCCAAAGGCTGTGATCTGGCTCTGTCCTGGGAGCCCATCCTTGCTCTGCGCAGCTTCCCTTGGTCCTTGCCAACTTTCTGCCATCCGAAATCAGAAACTGGCAAGATTTGGGTAAATATTTGAGATAATACCCATTATTGAAACTCTAACGACCCAAAAACTCAGGAAAAGAATGGGTTTGTATGTGCAGAATTCTCACTATCCAAGCTGCATCCAAATCCTAGCTATCAAGAGTCAGTAGACAGGTGTTCAGAGACAAGTTAGGGCCTGCCCAGCCTCGGTGGGCTCCCTTTTCTCCTGGCCACCCACTTTACCCAGTCGCATACTTCACATACTCACTCTTACACTTTGGTTAGACGACCAAAATGCATGAACCGTGCACATTTCAGAAACCACATGCTGCCGCTTTTGTATTTCAGGGGCTGACAATAGTCAGTAAGAACTCGAGATTAGCATCATAAACGGCATGGCCTGAGTTACTGATGATCTCGATGGCATTATTTTAAGACTACACAGATGAACTAAAAGAAGAGATGGCGTGGAGGTAGGTCGGTACGTTGACTGGAGCTGAATCCCTGTGGTTGTGCGGCTCGGGAACCCCCCGTTAGAGGGCATGATTTTGGTGTGAGACCAGAGCACCGGTCCCGGGGGCAGTCAAGAGAGCAGTACAGTCCCCCTTTCTGGGGGGCAGTCCAGAGAGCAGTAGAGCCCCCCTTTCTGATACGCAGCATCCCCTGAACTCACACCCCACTGTTCTACTCTGCAGTGACATCGAGACTTTCCATGTGGCAGCCCTCTGCTTCAACCATGTTGCATTTCTTAGGGGTGCTACCTGACCGACAGCTTCAGCCGGCCACCAGGAACTGGTGATGTGGGAATCTGTCCCTCCACCCCGCCCGCCCTGGTACTGTCCACCCAGCTTCACTTGATGTAGGCGTGGTCACTAGATTTCGATGGCTCATTTTTCATGGACCTTTTGAACAAGTTACTTTCAAGGAACTTGCAAGAACAAAATATACAACAGAAAAAAAAAATCCACCAATCAGACAACGGGAAAATGCAGTCATTGGGATTATTAAGCATTCTGTAGGCCACACCGTGCTGCAGTGCACGGAATGTCGTCTTTCCAGATTCTGCCCATGACATTTTCCATTGATAGGCAGAGGAAGCATTTGTCCTAGTTCTGGCCCATTAGGAAATTGACAACAGTCTCTCCTACACCAAATTAAACTGTCTGTCCTGAAACATGGACCTCTCCTTTCCAACGTGAAGTCCCAAGCACACAGCTGATCTGTCTAATTTCAGGGGCTCCATGATGGCAAAGGCAGTAGATTTTATTTTTCCTCCTTCTTTCAGAAGGTTACACAAAGGGGTGACATTGTTCATATCTGGGAGGACATTCTAATTAAGTTAAGTGCCCAGTGCTATTGAGGCTGGCTATCAAGGTAGCTGGGCATCGTCGTCCGGCTCCCCTGACCCGGAGTCATGCCAGGAGAATCCAGGGCTCTGGGGAGGCGTGGACAAACAGGAGAGCTGCCCTCAGGGGCTGAGAGCCGTCCTCTTGGGTCCTGTGGCTGTCGATCAAGGGTAAGTGCATGCTGGCGGGAACCTGGGCCAGCGTTTGACTACTTTGGATGCATTATTAGTCGGCTGCCAGGTCCCTGCTGTCAGTAACTGAGGCAGCTTGGCTCTCAAGCTCCCAGCGCTAAATGGAATCACAAGACCACTCCTTCAGCCCCATCTCTCACAGCTGAGAACATGGAGGCTTAGCAAGCCCACACGGGGGGCTGCCTCCAGACCACGTGGCGATTAATGGGTACAGACTGCCAGCAGCCTGCTGTCTACACGGCACGCCTTTCCCCCATTATCTCAAAGACCCTTATTAATGAGCTGTGTGATGGTTTGTTCTGTGAAGCTTTGAGCTACGGGCCCAGAGAAAGTTAATGCACAGAAACGAAGGGATTCGGTTTTTCTTCCATTTGGAGAAATAATCATTACCTATGCGGGCTCATTACTTCCGCTTCCTCATCGGCAACATGGGATTGATGGAAAGTCCAGTCATAAGTGGCTGTGTGCCATGGGGCTGTTATGGACCTCGCAGGGAACAGCACATGGGAAGTGTTTTGAAAATGACAGCACATTGCATCATGTTGCGCTGACGGCAGTGATGACTGACAGTGATGGAGGCCCGGCAGAGAGCTTTAAAGACCTGGAGGCCACTTGACCAGGTCACGGTGGGGTCACCTCAGAGGCGAGCATCCCAGCGGGGGGCTTCCACACTGAGGAGTTTCCACCGCGGCACTCACTGTCACTGGCTTTCTACTCGAGCTCACCTGCACTCCCACCTGAACAACTGTGTACAGCAGCCACATCTGAACTCATGTCTCCTCTCGAGTGGGAGCCAGCATGCCTCCGGCCCAGCTGCGGGCAATGCTTGTGCTTGGGGACCTTCCACCCTGTTTCAGACAGAGCTAAATGCTTCCTGGCTCAGGGGGTGGAGGGGTCACTGTGCCGCAGTCCCTCATTGGGGGCCCTGGCAGGACAGCTGTAACTGTGTGTCGAGAGCTGCCTTCCTTCCTGGCCTCGCTCCAAAGGGGTGCTACGTCTGGGAGCTGCGGCAGAGACGCGGGCTGGCCTGCGTAGCCTGAAGGTGGGCGCTGGAGGGGCTCGGGTGTCTAAGAACACACGCGCACCACCTGGCCTCACCTCCTGGGGTGGGGGCAGGGTGCCTTATATCATCTCCAAAGCACACACCAACTGCAAGGGGAGTGCCGAGGGGACCCCCGGGGCCACTAAACGGCAAGTGACAGGATCCAGACCTCAGTGTGAGGTGGTTTCGACTTCAAAATATGTTGGACGACACCAAAATCATCCTGTGGTACCAGAGCCGACCACCGCCGCATCCTGCCGCACAGGCTTGGTCCTCAGACCAGGGCGGGCGGCACCTCCTCTCTCCAAATCCAGCTGTGGTCACTTCTGGGACACACACTTCAGCCTCGGCCTGACCCAAAGTTGAACTAGGCCTTGGGCACTCTGGGGAGGGGCCACCCCCAGCCCCGGGTTGCCTTCACCTCAGCCCAGATTTGGCAGTGTTGCAGGGCTGGGCTGGGCCTCCTTGGGGAGGGCGGGACACGCCCAGGAGGGTGCACATGCCCTCCTGTCCAGCTGGACGAGGACGGCTGGCAGGTCGGTGCCCTTTCTGAGCTTTGCTTTTCATCACAGAATGGGGTGATGAGCTCCCCTCACCCTGCCACAGAGGGCAGTGTACAGCTGCCTGGTGTTAGGTGTGAATAACAGGCATTTGCGACTCACAGGCGAGGAGCCTGGGCTGGACTGGGAAGCCACTGTCTTCACTTCCTCCAGCACTGTGAGGTGTCCATGAGGATTCCAGAACCCACAGACACAGGCCTGTCTCCCACCCAGGATGCTAGCTTGATAGGCAGTAACTAAAGTCAGGGCCAGATGACGGAATGGTGAAAATAGCAGGGCGGCCTTCCCCAGCAAGCTAACAGACTGGGGCGGGGGTGGGGGAGGGGGTGGGGGCTTCTGCCAGGGAAAACAGGGACACTGCTGTCCTGACTGGGCGGCAAGTTGGCGACCTGAGGTCACTTCGTCCACCTGCCTGTCTGGACCTCAGCTTCACTCTGCTTGCAGTTTACTTGACCTCTCTCAATCTTGGTCCCCTCAATTGCATAAGGGGGTGAAGAAAGACCATGAGGAGACAGCAGTGTCTACTGTGCCTGGGAGCCTACTAAATAACTGGATAAATGGGGAGTTCACACCCTGTTCGGTGGGACCCCCTACATCCCTGTCAGGCATCACTGACTGGGGGATCCTATTTGCCCTGCTTTGGAGAGAGCACGGGAGAAGGAGCGTGTCTCCCAGGACACCAGCAGCACCCTGGCCCCTGTGTCCTCCCTTACCAGCTTCTGGAGGGTACCTGAGCCCACACATGCAGACTAACCACATCGAACATGCTGGCTCGTCAAGGCCTGGGGCTCGGGCTGTGTGGCACCCATCTGGAAAAGGCTCGGGTGAGCCCCTGGTGCAGGACCCGGAATTCTGGGCTCCCTGGTGTCCATGGAAGAAGGAGCAGGACCCGTGCTCCGTGGCTGGGAGCCACAGTCCCCAGGAGGGCGGGACCCAGTCCCCGGGAAGGGCCCCCCTGCCCTCAGTACCTTTCCACGGCGCAGGCGGTGGCCTCGTGGCTGACGGACGAGGAGTAGGTCTGCCAGTCTCCTCCGGGCAGCTCTCTCAGCTGCACTGTGAAGTAGCGGATGGGAGAGGCTCCGTCGCTGCCCGGGACCCACTGGAGCCGGAGGCCACGGGCCGTCACTTCTGCCTGGGGCACCAGGAGCTCTCTGGGGGGCGCAGGCCGCTCTGCAACCAAACAAGGACACCCAGGGGCAGCTGAGAGCGCGTGCTCAGGGGTGAGGCACTCTTAGGGCTGACGCGGACGAGCCCGCGCAGACCTGACTGCAGACCTCGCTTGTTCCTGGGCAGAGACAGACAGATGGACAGAGGCAACTGACACAGGCTCCCAACTGGACTTTGGGCATTTCTGAAAGGCACCTGTGTCTCCCAAGCCTCGGCGTGAGCAGGGTGCTTTCTGAATTTGGACGCAGGGCCTCCTTAACACTGATTCCCTCTCCTGGTCGGCAGCTGCACCTGAAACTTCAGTGACCCCGAGCTCAGTGACCCTGAGCTCAGTGACCCCGAGCTCCGTGACCCTGCCTCCACGGCTGGCAGTCGTGGAACTGGGAGTGGGGGGCATGGGCCAGGACCCAGAGACTGAGAGTGAACTGTCTGCCATCTCTGTGTCTCCTCATCCATCGATTTCAATAAAGGCACTCCATGGGGGAGGGATAATTGTTTAATTGTTTATCATGCAGATTATTGATTCTGATTAAAATGTGTGGCATGTAATAAAGCAGCAATTGATTGCCGGGCCTGCAGTGACGGGCCTGTGAGGAGTGCTTCGATCTAACTTAATCAGCACCCTGCTCCTGCAGCGACACTCTGGCGGGAGCCATGGCCTTAGAAGAGCAGTGGGGGGAGTGGGGAGGGACAAGCTGGGACAGGAAGTGGGCAGGGCCATGAGTGGCTGTGTGGTTCTGAGATGGGGGTGGGGAGGGGGAAGAGGGGGAAGGCTGAGTCGGACCCTGGAAAGCAGGGCAGGCAAGGAGATGGTTTCCATCCGGAAATCAGAGCAGAATAGACAAACATTCTCCTGGCCTGGCCTGAGTCATGCGGCGAGAGCAGTTGTTTCACGCCCTGAGTCCTGAGCTTCCTTGGCTACACACCCCAGCTCTGCTGGTGAGAGGCAGAGAAGGTGTGGGGTCAGCGCCTCTGATGGGAGGGCGGGAGGGCTCAGGATGTCTTCGTTCTCTCTCCTCCCTTTCCAGATTTCAGATCAGTCCTACAAACTGTCTGCTGGACGTGCTGGGTTCAACTCACTGCTCCCTTAACTGGTCTCCCGTGGCTCCTGCGAAGCAATGACGCGACCCCACGCAGCACACACTTAGTGAGCGCTGGCCTCGGGAGCCGGTCACCTGCCAGCGAGCGCCCAGGGGCCCTGCTCTTGTGCTCCACACAGGGAGCAGCAGCACGCGGGGAGGAGCTTTGCCAGGGCTGCTCAGCTCAGAAGCCGCCCCGAGGTGGCTCTCAGAAAGGACACAAGGTGGACCACAGGCTCCGAGCGCTTCCCGCATGGTGCCCGCCACCTCCCTCCTGGTATCACATCCCCGAAGATCTCGGGCCTAGCCATGATGTCAGCACCTGGAATCAGTCAAAACTGCCCTTTCTGGCAAAAGTGCTGTGGCTTTGGCCCTGGAGGAAGCTACTCTGCTGCGGCAGACTCCAGAGCGAGGTCCGGGACCTGCCCAGGGGCTCCTGGAGAGAGACCTGTGGCGGATTCTTGAGGGAAGAGCTGTGCATGTGCCCTAAACCGCAGCCCCACCCTGTGCATCCTGGGAAGTGACCTACTGGGCCTCAATTTCCTCTTGCACGGAGCCAGGGGCTCCCGGGGCTGATACCCCATGTCAAGCACCACCCCTGGGGCTCTGAAGACAGCGGGGGTCACAGGCTTCCCGAGGACTGCCTCTGAGAAAACACCCTTCCTGCTCACCTGCTCACTCGGGTCAGGGTTTGAACACTGGGCCTAAAACGGGACGGCTGTGCACTCTTGGGGCCAGCTGCACACCTCTCTGAAATACACCTTCCCCTTTAAAGCTGGGACAGTCACGCCTACCTTGGAGAGTGGGGCTGTGGCTCATGCCGCGCCCGCCACGCAGTCTGCAGGGAGCGGCCTGCCTGTCACACTCATGGCTCCCACGGAGCCCTCATGGCCTCCCACCCCACCGTGGCAGTGAGGTTCTGGGCAAGGGTCTTACCTCTCTTCTCAGTGGTGATGACCGTGGCCTCCAGCGGCTCCCCCCAGCCCTGCCTGGTCTTGGCCGACAGCCTGAAGATGTAGGCTGATTCTGGGGCCAGCTCGGTGGCCGTGAACTGCCTCACCGTGGCACCGACCTCCACGGTGGTGAACGTGTTGGGGCTGCTGCTGGCCAGGCGGTAGGCAATCTGGTACCCTAAGGGGGAGAGGAGGGGAGGGTTAGCTCTGCCACTCACGCTAGAAAGGCTCCTCTCCCGCTCGTCATCACTTCTGGACTGGAAGCCCAGACAGACATTTGTTTCTCTGTGATTCCTTCCTTCTCAGTTGGCATCTGAGAGGCAAGAGCTCGGCGTGTGACCAGGGAAATCAGAGCCCGGTGGTGAGCGAGGGGCTCTGGGCACCAGCCAACCCTCATGACACCTGTTTCCCTCTTCATCCTTCACAGGAACAAGATGTGAAAACAGTTTCGTCTTCCCATGGCCATTGGTAGCCGGCAGGGGGCTGTGCAGGAAGCCGGCAAGTCGAGCGTTTCTGATGGGAGCTCGAGACTGCTCGCTGTTCACGCCCGCTGCCCCTGCCCTCCTCCGAAGGCAGGCCTTCTCCTGGGCCGGGAGCTGCGTCTTCCGTCTGGCTTTTATCGCGGTTCTCCAGGAGTGGGGTCTGCAGGGCTGGTGGCAGGTCGAGAGCCGTGGGCTCACACGTCTGTTCCTGGTTCTTCCTGTCTTTCATCTTCCTGCTGCCCAGCTGCTCACAATCCCCAGTCCCCTGGAGTGTGCTGGACTCCTCGTTCCTGCCTCTCTTCTGCCCTCCACCCCCCCAGCAACTCCGGCATGTGGCTGAGCCTGGGGCGCCACTGTAAATAATCCTCCTCCTGTCAGGCAAGCAGGAGGTGCTTGCTAATCAGTCCAGGGAGGGGCCCAAGGGCTCTGAATGTCTCTCACGTTGCTCAAGTATCTCCAGTTCTAGGGTTGATAAGAAGCCATTAATGACCAAGCCTCTCCAACCAGGCCACGCAAGCCCTCTCCACCCGTCTGAAGAGGCAGGGCCCACGGGCAGCCCTGCCAGGGCACAGTGCTCAGCCTCCTCCTGCTTCTCAGACACGCCAGGCCAGCTGCTGAGCTCCTGCTCTGATTAAAAGCAGAACTGATGGGGGGCTACAGCCTCTGAAAATGGCAGTGACAGCCAAACTGCTCACGTCAAACAAGGGAGACTCATGGGGGGAAATTAGAAAAACAACGAACTCTACAGCTCTGCCTTCTTGGGGTACCTGGGTCGGGAGGGTTGCAGACAGAGGACGCACCCTCCTGACCTCTTCTCTGCCCCTCTCCTTGGCCCGCCGCAGGCGGTCAGGCTCCGCTGGCACTGTCCCGGCTCCTGCACCGCCATCTACCCAACCCGAGCCAGAGGAGAGTGTCCTGGCCTTGGCTTCTGGTCGCTGCTGGCCACGCTCATCACCACACTCATGCCCTGTCCCTGGTGACTGCCGGTTGCAGATCTGGTGTATGCAAAACCCTGAACTTGGGAGACCTGAGTGGCCACTGCAGCTGCGATTCTGCCTCCTCACAAGGCTTCTCACTTCCATGGTGACCAGCTGTCCCTGGGTTTCCTGGATGAGACCCAGCGGGCCCTGCGCCTCTGTTAAGAGTGTCCTGCTCCCCACTCATTGACTGGTTGACCAAGGTCCCGAGACCCCGCCAGCTCTCCTCCTCGACTTTCCCTTCCACCTCCTCCCCTTAGCCTAGTTGACTAAGGGGAGCTGATGTCTGGTGTAACATGAACCCACCCCCAAGCTTCCTGAGATCCTTGTGCAAAGCAGATCCCTAACAGAGCAGAAAGCAAGCGTGCATCAAGGCATGTGTCTGGGGCTTGGGCCCTGACGATGCGCACACTGGGTTCCCGGGTGGGCTAATCTTATAATTTTGCAGTGGCAGAACAGGTTTCTTCTTCACACTCGCCTCTACCTACGACAGCAGAAGCAGCAGAGGCCCCTGACGACAGCTCCTCGCACACGTTCACCCCAGAGGCCTGACCACGGCGAGCGGCAAACACAGGCTGACCGGACTCCCAGACTCTCCTTGCACTTCCTTCCCAGAGACCTCACAGCAGAGCTTCCTTCACCCCGTGGGGAATCATGTGTGATTCAGACCCTACACTGTCAAACCGCCCCTCCCCCGGCGAGTCTGCATTAGCTAGACATCAGCTGCTTTAACGAATAGCACAGTGGTCACAGATGTGCTTCCAGATTGTTAGTCTTTGTCACATTTTGCTTCTACTCAGATTATTCTGTTGCTTTTAAAGTTAAAAATCCCGTGATGAACTAAGATTTTTGTTCAAAGGCACGTCTCTGTGAATTGCAGAGTTTGGGAATTAAATGGGAAGCAGTCATCTCTCCTTGCCCACCCAGTGTGGTGTCTGCTCACCAATAGCCCTCCCTCGCCCCCACGCACCTGCCCTCCACCAGCGCACAGCTCAGCGTGACCTTGGCTGCGTCCTCACACCCCTGACCCTGCACTTGATCTTTTTCCTCCCTCAAGTCCCTCTGACCGTGGAGGAAGAGGTCAAGAGAATGGATTCCTCCAGCCTGTCTTGGCTCCCCTTGGGCAAGTCCCAGCCTCACAAGACCCCCAGTTTCTCACCTCGACTACTAATGGGAACAGCCCCGCTTCTGTAGGGCCTCTGCATCTAAGGCACCTTACACCTGCCATGTTAGCACCCATGACATTCCAGGGCCAGGATCAGGGGGCCCCCCTTACGCTGAGGACAGGGAGAGGTTCTTTGGCATCAGAGCCCCAATTCTTCCCAGGAAACCCTGCTATGTCCCACAGTTCATTTGTGCTTCAAAAGGGTAGGATTCTGATGATCTGAAGAAAAGGGGGGTGGAATGGAAAACAGTTTGGCCACTTGATATGAATTTTTCAAGATGATCGTGAAGGTAGAGGCGGAATCTTGAAGCATTTAGAAAGCAAGAGGCACATCTGGTGGTAGTGGACGGAAGCACAGCAGTGGAGCAGGCCTGCTGGACGGCCCCATCTGGAGGGATAGACGATGTGGGGGAGCAGCCTGGCTTCCCAGCAGCAGAGCCCAGCCAGAGCAGGAGGAAAGGACTGAGCACGGGACTGGGAGTGACAGCAACACAGGGCAGCTGACTGCGGGGCTTCCACGCATGAAGAGGGGCTGGCGGCCCAGCCCACACGAGGTACTTGCCATTCTATGGGTATGTCTGCTTGAGTCTTGAAGCTTCCAGTGGGCTCCCAGACAGCCCTGATGAAACAGCTTAAGGGAGCCAACCCCAAGAAATGGAGAGGAAAAGGGAATGGGACAGACTGCTTTGAAAGTTATGGCCCCCTGGACACCGAGACTCCACTGGAGACAGTGCAGAGGCCACAGTCCCACCATAAGGGACGTTGTCCCCTCCTATCAGGAACATCATTTTTAACCACTGCATAGTATTCCATCTTGGGCCCCTGCCCCTAGTGTGCTGCCAGGGCCAAGGAAGAAGCGGGGGTGTTTGTAGCTGGAATGCCTTTGAGGCCACTGTCCTTCAGCTTCAACTGGGTAACACAGAGATAATATTGATATACCCACTTTTATAGCTGCCGCAATGACGCCATGAGATAATGTATGTAAATTGCAAAGTACAACGTCACTTGTGCCTAATTGCAGGAAATTTAGGTTATTATTTCTCTCTCTGATCCAGTTCCCACTCTGCACCACAGAGAGAAAATTCCTCAGCTTCTGAGTTAAATTTGTACCTTCTGTTATTTGCCCTAAAAAACTAAGGCTAATATCCTCTAGTCCCCATTCTGTGGGAGTTCAACATAAAGATCAACACCTGCATTTTACCTTGATGGGCCCTGTGAACACCAGAAGAGACTTTTTCTGTAAACAAACAGAAAAAAGAGGCTGCTGAGTACTGCCAGTTCTATTTTTTTTTGGGGGGGGGGTGGGGGGGGAAGGGTGAGAAAATAACAAAAATAATCAACAACCATATACCAGAGACATTTTGCAGGGGTGGAGTGGGGAATGGGATCAAAAACGGGGGGGTGGGGGTGGAAGGGAGGGAAACTAACAATAGGTAGTATTCAAAGATAAGAACATTTGGGAGGAAAAGGCTAGTTATGAAACTAGTTAAATTATAGTTACAGCAAGATCAGAAACATTATTGTGCTGAATTTCAGTGATGCAAGGTCAGCAGCCGACATGGCTGTTAGGGAAGGATGGATAAGCTGAATCAATAGCAGGAGTAAACTGCAGCCTGAGAGCGGCCTGTGTTTAAGGTTATGGGTGAATTATGCTAATACGCACACTGGGGGAGTAAGGCCAAGTTCGAGCAACATTGATCCAGAGCGAAGATTAAAGACATGGAGTAAGGGAGGCCTATGTGGGTTTCTGAATGGCCCAGAAAATGGAGGAAACCTTGCGCCTCAGAACAGCACCCTGACAATGGGCATATGCTGCAGATTCCAGATCTGTCCATGTCAGAGATGCAAAAGGGAGATTTTCAGGTCATGGGGCCAACAACTGAAAGCCTCTTAGGGGGTGCAGTCACACCGCCTCAGTCAGACGGGTGCCTGGACCTTTTGGAGAGTTTGTACAGGTGTGTTAGGAGGCTGCACATCTTTATGGCTCCCCTGGCAGATAAAAGGTGTCAGGATGAGAGCTGCTTGCCAGAGGGTCCTGGGGCTCAGGGTCCCAGTGGTGGGCCACCACTGGGGTGGGGTGTTCCTGACTTCCTCAGTGACCACTGTCATGGGTGTGGGTGGTGACACCCCTGCTGGCGTCCAGTAATTGGTCAGAGAGCTGACAAGCAGCCGGACAGCCCTGGGAGGCCCTGGTCAGCCCAGCCCAGGTGCTGTGTGGCTTGTTGGTTTTATAGCTTATCCGTCTGAGGGCTGTGGCCAGACAAATGCAACAGTGGATCAAACCCATGCATTTGCAAACACGGATTATATTCAATCGAGCTCCTAATTCTCAGCAGAGTTCTTGTCTACCCTTTTGTAATAAGCTAAAGGTAAATGTTAGACCCCGGTAGCTGGAAGACATCTAACCAGGCGGAGGTGGGGAAGATTCTGGCATGTCTGACGGGGGCAGGCCCATGTGGATTTGAAGAACACATGCATCACTTTAGTTTAGCAGCATTTAAGGGAGTGTGGAGTAGCCGGTGTGCGAGGGAGGGGTGACCATACTCAGGTGGCTCACTCCACACCCCCCAAAGGATGGCTCTAAATGCTAAAATCTCTCTATAGTAAAATATTTACGCAAATAAGCAAGCTTTTCCCCCTCTAGGCACCTGCCAGTGTTTCATGCTGTTAATCTCTTTTGGAAATGCAAGAGCATGTTTTGATATAGATTACAAAAGCACGAGCTGCAGAGGTGTTTATATACTCAGAAGGCCGCACTGCCAGAGTGGGAACATTGATTCAAGGTCTCTGGATGTAAAGTGAGTCTTGCAAAAAGATGTTTTCCCTTCTCCCCCGTGAACACCAATCTGAATCTTTAGAAACTGTTTTCCCATCTTTCCTCCAGCATCTACAATTTGGTGTGCTAGCTGTAATAATATTCAGGTGACAGGTTACCCAGACAACATTTGTTACAATTACAACTAAATGCCATTACAACACCAGGCTCCACGGCAGCGATCCTTTGCATTACAGGTAGACGCCAAGTCAGCTTAGGCAGCATCTGCCTTGCCGTGGCTGGAGTGCCAGCCATGGATGGGGTACTCAGTTTAAACACTACCTTCTTTTTACCTGGGTTATGATGACTTTCAGTGACCTCTAGGGACCATCGATCAAAACTCAAGCATCTCCACATACTTAGGAGCATCCTATATAGCTTGGCACCAAACCACCTTTCTAGATGTTTCTCCCTCTCTTGTCAGCATGAAGCAGAGTGATAAAGAACCAGTCAACACAACATACCACTGGTGAATATAAAGTAGTTTCTAGCATTGGGCTAAGCTGTGGTGGGACAGAGAGATGGTGAACCAGCCCTGGAATTGAATAGGCCTCCAGACTCCTATGGTCCAGTGGAAATGATAAAATATTAAGTAGCCAAGATACTAAAGCTTAACACTGATTGAATACTTACTATGTGTCAGGCACCATTCTAAGCTCTAAATGCACAATCCCTTAAACCCTAGGGGGATGGTGTGAATACTATTCCCCTTTGAGGGATGGTAAGCTACGGTATAGAAAGCCTAGCCTACTGCTGTGAACTCACTCAGCCAGTGCTTATGGCTGAGGGCTGACCCAGACAGCATGGCTGCCATATCCAAAGTCTCACTCACATTCTACTCTGCCTGTCTGCAAGAGGAGAGAAAAGGCAACTTGCCCGTGACTGATGGCATGGAACTGTGCAGTCCATACCTGCCTGAGGAACTCAGGGGAGCATTAATCATGTTTCTGGGGATGTCAGAAAAAGCTTCTTGAAAATAATAGCTTGAGTCAGGTCCCTAGAGACAGGAGTTCTATGGCTGTTCAGCCCTTTCTGTGTGTCTTACTTTCTGCAGCTTGGAGAGGTGCAACCTCATATATACCCTCAGAACTCCACAATCCTGCCCTGTATTCCATCAAGACCATGCTCAGTGAGCAGATCCCATGGGATCTCACACTACCTCACTCCAAGCCCAGGGTAGAAAGGGAAGAATTGCTAGAGCAATTGGGCAAGAGAAGGCTATGAAAAGAATCCAAACAAGGGGGAAAAAAAAAAGAACTCTGCAGATGACATAATAAAAATAGAGAACCCTAAAGACTCCACTGTAAAACTAATTGAAACAACAAATCGGTTCAGCAAAACATCCAGTTATAAAATTAATTCCCCAAAATCAGTTGTCTGCCTATATGCAATCAATGCACTAGAAGAGGAAGAAATTAAGGTAACAATCCTATTTACAAGCACACCAAAAGATAATTACATGCTGAGCATTACCCTCACCAAGGAGGTGAAAGATTTTTTTAAAAAGAAAACTACAAGACATCATTAAAAGAAGTAAGAGACACAAAGTGAAAAGATATACTGGATGGTGTCATTTATATGTGGAATATAGGTGACACCATGCAATGGATCGGATGATGTCAACTGAAACAGTAACTCTGGAAAGGTGACTACAGAACTGAGGAGCGCCAGGGTGAGCACACACAGTGGCCTGCAGTGGGGCACTGTGGCAACAGCACCAGAAGGGGGCACCCTAGACTCCCACACTGCAAGCAACAGTGGAAGTCAACGTTGGCTTAGTAAAGAAAAAGCCCAGTGTTGGTGAGGGAGGGGTGGTGTATGCACTGTTGCTCTGAGTGCAAATTAACACAGCATTTCTAGAGAGAAAATTTGAGCTGTGTGTGAATATCCTTAAAAGTGTTCCAACACCTTGTCACAGTTATTTTATTTCTGGGATTAGATCCTGAGGAAATTGTGAGAAGTGCAATGAAGATTTACCTCTGAGGATGTTAGTCACATTATTATTTATGAGTGCAGAATTTGGTAGATAATCTGAACTTCTTTATTTTCAATTACAGTTTATTTGAGTTTAAACATTACAGTATTTGAATATGTTCTTACTGTGAAGTTCAAACAATACTGAAGTATATGGAGGAATTGTGCTTTTGACAACGTGGTAACCTAGATGTCCTGGAAAACCCTCCTGTTAAGACATTTAGCAGTGATAAATATGACCATTAAGGAAAGCTTGTAAGTGCATAGCTGAACTGGCAAGAGGTGAGGAGAAGTTATAGAGGTTGCAAGGAAATGGGAATAGAAATTCAGAGACGTCAAGGTGAAGCGTAGAGCCGCCCGAGGACAAGAGGTTTCGGCAAACAAGGCTGGCCAGGTTGGTGGCTGCTGGAGAATTCCAACATAACACCACGAGGAACCACTCTGAGCCTGACAGTTGGCAAAGCCTTTAAAAATCTAAACCCATCCAGGGTTGAAACAGACGAATAAAGCAGCACAGCTACAGGAGGCGGTATTTGCACTTCGAAGGGCAGTCTGGGATCACTGGGTGACGCTGGGACCTGAGGTCTCGATGACACGCTGGGCATGTGCTGGAGACCCCGGAGGCAGAACCTAACAAAGGGGAAAAACTCCCTGTGGCCGATGCCAGGAGATGGGAGCCACTGTATGTGCACAAGCGACGGCGGGGGGCGGGGGGGACGGGGGATAAGTGACACTAGTGGCGTCCACTGAATTCACAAAGCTGAAAGAAGAAAGCAGTTCTCAGAAAAACGCAAAGCCCGGATGTATCTGAAGTCAAAGGCACGTAATACTACTTTAGATTGTTTTGGCTTCAATGCAGGTATAGTGAGATCAGAAAAGAAGTGAATAAAGACACGGCCCTCCCTGGTGGCACTGCAAGCTGGCCGCAGCCACGGCACTGCGAGTTCGACGCCCCACCCTGGAGCTGACCCACGTGGCCATCAGAACTCTCCTGACCCGCCCGCTGCTCCCCTCAGCAGTGTACTTCATCAGTTGGCCTGCTCTGCTACCCTCTCTGTCTCTGGTGAAGCCTATAAATGCCCCTGCACCTCTGACCTGTACCCCAGTTCTGTATGCATAAAAAAATAAATCTTTAAAAAAAAAAGGCCCTCCCTGGTGGCGCAGCAGGTTAAAGCATAGCACTAACAAGCTAAAGCCACTTCTGCATGAGTTTGATTCCCGCCTGCCCCGGAGGTGACCCACATGGCGAGGCAGACCTCTCCTGACCCGCCCGCTGCTCCCCTCAGCAGTGTGCTTCATCAGTCAGCCTGTTCTGCCCCCCACTCTGTCTCTGGTGAAGCCTCTCGCCGCCCCTGCACCTCTGGCCTGTACCCCAGTTCTGTATGCATAAATAAATCTTTAAAAAAAAAGTGAATGAGGGGATCTGTGATTGGGGTTTCAGTGGTTCTGGGTGGCCTACGTCAGCAGCTGGGCTCAGGCATATGGGTATGTTTTGTTACTCACATATACAAATGCACTAGGATGAGATTCCTTTCAAAGTATGAACCATTTTATAATTACAATGTTAGGAAAATGATTATAAGAAAAAATGTCCTTAACCACCTAACCTAAAAGTGTTTTGGTGGTAGAACTGTGGGTAACTTTCATTTTCTCCTTATACTTCTTTGAATGTTTTTAAAAAAATTGCAGTGAACATGTTAGTTTTATTTTATAATTGTTCTTTTTGTTATAAAAGGTTTCAAACATGCAGAAAAACACTTAGAATAATCTTGATCAAACACTAATAAGTTTGTCAGCCTGACTCAACAATCTTGAGATTTTCCCAAATTTCTGATTTTTATTTTTAGATAAAGTATGAGAGAAAAATCGGAAGCCACTCTGTGGGCTCACTGGATCCTCCCTCAGAGGTAGCCTCATTCCCAGTGAGGGCCCGTCCTGTCCACATTTTAATACTGTTACTCAGGTGCACCAGCCCCAAGAGGCATACAGAAAGTTTGTCAAGTGTACAAAACATTTTCATCCTGCCTTTTCCTCTGCAACCGGCTCCTTGCACTCAACAGATGTTTGTGAGTTATTCGTGTCGACGTTTAGATTTCCTTCGTATTTTAGTTTCTACAGCATTTTCTGCTGTATGAACAGCCCGTAACTCCCCCTCCTGTTGCAATATTGATGGACATTTGGACTGTTTCCAGTTCTTTCCTCCTGCCTCTTCACAGTAGTCCTGCTGCGACTACCCCTGTGCACCTCTGCACGTGTGTGAGCTCTCCCTAGGGCGTGAGCCTGGAAGTGAAGAAGACTCTCCGCATGTCAGGGTACTCATTCACGCTACCCGCCACTGCCGCGTGTGACCCCCTAGGACACAAGGTAATATATTTGGGGGGGCTCTGGGGTTGAGATTAGGAAAATGCCATATTTGAGAGCTGCTTGGGTCTGGAAAATACTCCATGCTTGCTGCCCTTTTTTTAATGCCCAATTTAAGCATTGTGGGCCTTGGGGTCACTTCCTCCATGGACATGAGGCCATATGCAGCCAGTCATGGCCAGGCCCAGACTGCTACCCTAGCCTATGCCTCCACAGGCAAAAGGCTTTCTGTTCAGGCTGAGTGGACACCCCCTTCCTCTTTCCAAGCTTGGGAAGCCCCTCTCCCTGAGATCCAGTGGGAAAGCAGCTGTCCACCCCCCTGGATCCTCTCTCCCGCAGGAGCTGCCTGCAGTGCCCTTAGTGACTCCTCTGCTCATTGTCTGGCAGTCTCCCTGGGTATTGTGCCTCTTCCTCTGCAGGCCCGGCACATCTCAGTTCGATCCCCAGCCCCACAGGTGACCCACCTGGTGTGGCAGACCTCTCCTGTTTCACCTGCTGCTCCCCTCAGCAGTGTACTTGGTTGGTCTGCCTGTTCTGCTCACCACTCTGTCTCCGGTGACTCCTCTCACTGCCCCTGCACCTCTGGCATTTACCCTGCTCACGCCTCACTTCCCACTCTGCATGTGATGCCTGCACATAGAAAGCCCTTAACCTGTCAGGGTGAGAGGGTGGCTAAATAAAAGAATGGAACATTTTAAAAAATAGAATGTACTGCCTTTGGGGAATAGAAAAAATTAAGGCTTTTCATCAATGTTTCAGGATTATTCCTCTGAATGAAAAGTTAAAAGTAAACAATTTCCCTGGAACCAAAGATATGCAATTCACTCCAGCAACTTCTTAAAAAGATTAGGTGCAAGTCCTGTAGCAGAAGAAAGATATTTCCAGGAACTTGGAAGCAAAGCCCAGTTCTATATCTTCCATGAAAAACTGGCTTGTTGTTTTCCAAATACACATCAACATAGCCTGGTTATTTCAGAGCTGAAGGGAAGGTCAATTACATATGGTATTGCTGTGAACCCCGCACAAATGGAAGAAATTCTAGGTTAACGAAATGTAAATTTCAGCCTGCACGGAAACTTTGGTGCATGGTTCATGAAACAGCAGAGGGTTTATAACCTCTCAGAAAGGGCCAGGCTGCTATAGACAGAATCTTGATTTTGTTCTACCTCTCGGATATCTAATAAAAACAGGAGAAATCAACCTACCAGTTATTTCTCTGCGATCCCTTTACTGCTGCCGCTCTCTTACCCAGAACTTACCCAGAATGATGCCGTTGGGCTCCTCTGGGGGCTGCCAGACAATCCTCACTGACGTGAGCCGAACTTCGGGGAACACCAGCCTCACGGGTGGGCCTGGGGCTGAAGGGGAAAGCACACCATGATCCAGACACTGATTCAGCGGTATCTAGGACCACAACCAGGTGAAGTGGGACTTTGGGCTAGCGGGGCGTGGCGATGGCCATGGCTGATGCTGACCAAGGATGGACACTCTAAGCCTGGCAGAATGACTTCTGGAATCTGTTTGGCTTTGTGTGACTCCCTAATAATTTTGAAGAAATACCCCTCATTTTGAATCCTGCCCTCCTGCTTTCCAAATTTCCTCATTAGCACTCATCAGCAAGGATGGCAGTAGTGTGTTAGTTGCAGGAGAGCTGTCACTCAGTGATGGCCTAGAGCGAATCAAGTACATCAGATGAAAAGGAAAGACGTCACTAACTTGAGCTCAGGTGCTTTTCCTGGGGCTTTAGAGGCATAAAGTAGTCTAAAATCCCTCCCAGTTCTACATGGAGGTTATAATGCGATGAAACAATTTGCTTATCATCAGCGATTTCCCCCCTCTTCTGCACACTCTCCCTCTCCTAGTTCTAGAAAATTAAGTTTGGGCATGCACAAATACATATAATTCTTTTGCGGGGTGCAGCACACCAATACTTCAGAAAGCAGTTATGTACTGTGGCACTACTGAATGTGGGGTCAGAGTCCTCCAAAAACATTCACTTAAGTGGAGAGGTGAGCACATGGGCGGCCACAGTCAGGACTTCTTGTTGGAACTTATTAACTGATTAATTCCCAGATAGGAGGCCATGGGCATGAACAATCAATACAAAAATAAAGTGATGTGTGTTCTTGTCATTCCAGGCCTGTTGAAGTCTGCCTCCAGCTACTGCATGGAGAACAATATTTAAACTTTTAAACACGTATTATGACTATTCTAGTGGGGTAAAATAAATGTCAGGAGGAAGCCACCAGCCAGGACCCAACACCCTGAGTGGCACACCCCTTCCCCCACCCCTCCCAACGCCAGCCAGGGCCAGTCACTGGGATGAATTTGAAAGGAGGGAAGGAAAGACACATTTCTATTAGGACTGGAAGAGAAGAAAAAATTATTCTGTGGTTTGGAGGAAAAATTGTTACGATTTGAGAGGCAGTTTATAAAATGGCCCTTTTGCTTTTCAGTTGTGCAACCCTGACACCCCGCGACTGTGTTGTTTCTGGAGGACAAAGGCTTGCAGACTTTCGTGCTCACTGGGCACTCCAGCCGCATAAAATGGAGAGGACGGTTTCAAGTTGGCTAGAGGACATCTGGGGGCTAATTGCTCAGTAAAAATGCTTAAGAAAATCCACAGTTGTTTTGCCTGTCAGATGGCGCTGGCCCCTGAGGAGAACAGCCCTGACCGCCCCCTGCCCCTGACATATTACAGTCTTCCTACTAATGAAAATGTGAAGGAGTTAACCTTTGAGGGTTTGATAGCTGCAAAGTGGAGAAACATCTTTCCTGATGATTTAGACTTTTGTAAACACAAAGCCATCAAGTGTACTTGTTATTCAGGCCTGGAAACAGGGGCCTGGGCACCCTGGGAGCCTGCAAACACTGCACTCTGGATGGAAACGTCTAATTATCTCGTATTATGCAAATGGCCAGAGCTGGGCAGCACCAAGAGAGTCGGGCATGCAGGCCGGGAGTGGAGTGTTAACGAGATTTGTGCAGGCGTCACCGAGAGGAGCGGCCTCGCGTTTTATGGCCCCTGCCCACCGGCCTTTATTGCAGTGGCTGTTGCAGAGTTACGATGAAATTCTGCACAGGTTCATAATTAGGCTGTAAAAATTCACTCCAGGCTGAGATTGGCCATATAAATGCTCGGCGGCTGAAAGACAATTTTGTTTTGTTTTTCTCAACTGAAAAAAAAAAAAAAAGGAAGTGGTTTGAAAATTAAGTTAAAAATGACAACCACCCAAATGGTTTGGATGGTTCAAAGCGACCTGGGAGGCCAGCAAAAGCTCGGAGAGTAAACATACCGTCATCTTTGGTCCGCTCGAGGAGGAGGGGAGAGCTGGGGACCCCATTCCCGATGCGGGTGAAGGCCAGCACCTGGAGCTCATACAGCACAAACTTGCGCAGGCCTGCCAGCAACGCGGACTGCGTATGGTTGCCTCGCACGACGTGACTTCTGAGCTCGGAGTCCAGATCTTTGGCCCGGAACAGGATCTGAGGCATTGACACACACGTGCAGGCTGGTGAGCATGTGGCGTGTCAGGGAGGGGCCTGGGCAGGTGTTGGGGGCTCACAACCACAAGGGAGGCCCCGGCAGCTATGCCCAAGGCTGAGGCATCACTTTATATAAGCTGTTTGGGGGAAGGTGTGATGCTGTGTCCAGCACAGCAGGACAGCTGCAGTTACGACCCGGTTCACGGCTGGGCGAGCTGGCTGCCTTGCCAGAATTTGCAGGATCTGAGGCGCCCAACGGCGGGCCTCAATTAGGACACAGACAGTCTGCTTCCCACGAAAGGAGCCAGCAGCCCCTTGATTGACTTCCCAGCTTAGCAGAGTAGCTGCTCTCTGGCCTGCCTGCTGCCCACAGCACACAGCCATCCTCATGCTCTCCTCACCTGCTCCTTACTCCTAAGTCCTTGCTCAAAGCTCAGCCACTCTTAACTATTCCCTATGACTAGAAACCCCAGAGGTCATAAAAGATGGGGGGCATCAGGGAGAAGCTTAAAAATAGCACAGCAAAGATTTTCTCTAGGACCCAGGTATGGAATGGGCCCCTCAGTGGGATTGTCTAATGGGTCACATGTCTGATGGGGCCAGAGGGAGCAATTAGAATGTACAAGGCAGGGGGATCAGGGGTACAGGTGGGTACAGGCAGAGACTGGGGGGGCTAAGTTCTAAAAAGTGCAGAGAAGATGTGGGTGTGAGAACAGCGCCGCCCTGCTGGCCAACTCCAGGAACGTTTAATTTGTAGTTGGGGGAGGGGCTGAGGAGCAGCAGGTGGAGACAGTGCTGGTCACTGTGGTGACAGTGAGAGCACAGGTGAGACTAACCCAGAGATGGCTCGCCGAGAGGCTGGGGTGCTCGGTCCTGCAGTGATGCAGGGGGACAGGAAGGCAGCAACGAAAGACAGACCTGTGTGTTTTCACCTAGCTCACCCGCTCGGCACAGGCATGACATAATAGCCTGCTTTAGTCCCACATCCTCCTCCGAGGCAGCGACCCTCATTACTCCCAGCACACAAGTGAGACAACAGGCTCAGACTTCAAGCAGCCGCTGCCATGGCGCCTAGATGCCAGTTCCCCCATTTCACCTCTGCACCCCGGGCTGGAGTGAGGCTTAGATGGACATCTCGGGGCCGCGGGAGCTGAAGCGCTATGTAAGGGACAAGCTCAAGTTTGGAGGGGTGACGTGCGGCAGCCCTTCATGGTGTAAACAAAGGAGGATCTTTGGAACATACCTTGTAGCCCAATATGAGCCCGTTCTGGTCCTGTTCAGGCACTGAAGCCCATGTCAGTAAAATCTGGGTCGAGCTGACAGCCTCAGCTGACACGTTTTCAGGGGCAGCTGAAGGGACTGCAAAGAAGGAGTTAAACAGATTGGCACCACAAGTCTAAGGCTTCTACAAAGAGAGGTCTAATTTTTACCCAAATAATCAAGTTGTCCTTGAAATAGCAATGTATTCTGAGCATTTTGCAGTGATCAGATTAAACCTGCAGGGGTATAACAGAAATGTAAATCTCTTTAATATTAGCAACAAATTCCATAAATCCTGGGTCTTTAGGAGCTCAATTCTACCTGAGTCCACCCAGCAAGAAAATATGCTCGGTCTGTTTTCTGTATTAACTTGTGGGAGCTGCAGACTTTCATCTCCAATGGAAAGCCTCACTTTCCGATGCCGGTTCGCCGACATCTCTGAATGAGGTGTTTTGTGAGGTGATGGGGGGCGGCTGCTAGAGGAGTAATGATCTGACCCACAGGAATGGGAGGGACAGTCCCTAAGTCTGACGACATCCCTGTGCACACACACAATCACATCTAATCACAGCCACCACCCAGAAAGGTGGGTACCGCACCCCTGCTCCACAGATGGAGAAACCGAGGCAGAACAAAGCCTTCATGGATAGGACGGCTTTTTTTTTTTTTTTTAACCACGAGACAGGCCTAGGGAGGGAAGCTGCACCTGTCTCCCCAGGACGATCCATACGATCATCGTGTTGCTCTCTTCTGTTTGCATGTGTCGCTAGCCTCATTGATCTTGACACATTTGCAGTGATTCACATACGAAACTTTGAAAGTGCGAGAAACTCAACTTGCTTTGCTGCTTTTGGTACAGAGCCATTTAACCTTGAAACATCATTCAATGGTAAAGGATGGAGGGGGGCCCAGCAAAGTCGGGGATCCGCTGTTGACAAACAGGCACTGAGCCTCAGGAGGCTGACAGCAAGCCTGAAGATGGGCACCCTGCAGCCTCCCTGCTTGAGGGGGCTGAGCAGGACCCTCCTGCCGCTGCTCGCATGCGCATGGCCGTTTCCCGCTATGTCACGTGGGAGGCTTCGACGCCTTCTTGCTCAGCCCCAGGGATGAGCCTGTGGGTGGTTCACTCTGAACATGAACTTCCAGCAGGAATGCCACGGGCACCTGCTGCTCCCTATCCACAGCGCCATTCCCTCCCTCCCTCCCTCCCTCACTGATGCATTATTTCTTCCTTCCAGCGAAGGGTTGTGCCGGGGACTCTGGAGTCAGTAGGACGGAATGCACGGAGAGACGTGGAGCACGACGATGTTGCCGGCCAACTTGTGATCCTTAGTTTCTAAACCTACGTATAGAAAATGAGTGACAAACTGGCGCTTTGAAACAACTGTGAAGTAAAGGAGTATCTTTGTTTAGGTTGAATTGTGTTCCCCCAAAACTTGTGTGTTTGGAACCAAACCCCTGGAACCTTAGGTGTGGCCGTGCTTGGAAGGAGGGTTGCTGTACATGTGAGGACTAAGTTGAGGACACTGTTGAGGGATTTGTTACAGTGGCCTTAGGGAATGCAGAGAGTGTTTAAGGAAATGTGCCAGGATTAACGCAAGTTATCAGAAGTACAGGGCGGGGTCTGGCGGTTGGTCCAGGTGACAGGCAGGTGTCACTGTAGACAAGGGCTGGTGGAGGTGCAAGGACCAGAGCCCCAAGGCAGGTCAGGGGGAAGTGGATAAGTTGCTGGGAAGATGCTGACTTGGGGTGGGGGCGGTTGGTGAGGGGGGAGGAGTCTGCCTCCCCCTGTCCCCTCCTGTCCAGGGAGGGAGGCCATGGAGGACATCCTGGGAGGCACAGTCCTGCGCTGCAGACCCCATGAAAGGGCACTTCCCCACCACGAACCCCAGGAGGCCACAGCATGGCCCTGGCCTGCTTTACTATGCTGGTTATTTCAGACCACTGAGGCAAGAAGAGTCGTCTGCTCGTGACTGTCAACATGAAAGCACAGGCCACTGCCTCGTACTTTTGCAGAGAGAGATCGTCAACCTGGTGGGTAAACTCTTTCTCCCCAAATATGTCAGCTGACAGTCTTTCATTTGGTTATTCAGTTGTTCAATAAAATAATCTTAATTTAGTTGAGTAGATAGGTGTCACAGTAAATATTTACAATTTCACATTTACCCAGCTGTCTGATGGGGAGAAAGCTCCCCACACATGCCCCCTGCACCCCCACCCCAGGGCTCTCACTCGGGCTCTGTGCCTGTCAGGGGATCCCACCAGCACCCTCAGCTCCAGGGCTCTGGCCAGAATGTGGCTTACACATACACTTATTTTAATAAAAAATGAGTGATAAACTGGCACCTTGAAACACTGTGAATAAATGGGTCAGTTTCATTAAAAGAACAGGACAACTGACAATGCGCCTGACTATTTTCTGACTCTGTTCAGAACGAGAGTATCCAATATACTGGATGCGCAAGATATTAGTGCTAGATTCTAACAAATTCTGTCCCTGTCTGCAAAAAGAGAGGCCATTGTCATAGCAACACAACCAGTCCACCTCTCAAATGCTTAACTGTTTTCTGCAGGTCAATCTTTGAAACTATAAGTGCGCAGTTCTTACTATAGATCTACAAATAATAGCTGATTTTCTGAGACGTGGTAATGTGCGCCTCCATTTATGGAGGCCACCCAGACCCCCAAGTAGGAGGGCGACCTGGTGATTGAAGCAACTCAGACAAGCACTCAGAACACTGGATTCTAACAAGGACTGAGGCAGAGAAAACGGCAGTGTTCGGGATTAGAATTTCAGAGATTTAAATTCCACCTGGATAAAACCTACCATTTAGTTACAGACAATGTTTTTAAGATATTTTTTAAAGCCTTACTCGTTTTCTATTCTGAAGTAGATTTAACAATTTCCCTGCCTAACATCTTAAGTTCTGAAACAGTCCCAGAAATCCCCTTTCCAAAACAACAACAAAACAATGCCATTTAGACCGCTGATTCTTTCCTTCATTTGCTTCCTCTTCTGTACAGGATTTCGTGCAGCTCAGTTCAATTCTACTTCTCCTGGCATCTCTTGATTTTTAAAGCCTCATTTACCCTTATAATATATCATAATACATCACAAGATGTCATGAAGCCAGTTAAACGGCACTTCAAAGAAAACTGCGTTTCAGTGTGGTTTAAAGCAGTCTCCTGTGCGCCTCCTGCCCTGCCCCCCCCCCCCCCACTGCTCTCCAAGCCCCTGGGCCCGTTGCTGAGCGACCCCTTCACTGCACAGGGGCCTGCAGCTCATCCTCCTCCTCGCTTCATAGCGCCACTCTGTTCTGGCCTTGAACCCCTTCACCTTCTTCTGTCCCCACCTTTCTCTTGAAATGCTGAGCAGTGCCTAGAGAACCAGTTCCCTGAAGGGGCAATTTCCCTGCTGGGATGGTAAATGTTGACCACCAGCAGTCAGCGGGACCAAGAGAGACAAGAAGGCAAAATTGCTGCACTGAGGAAAGGTGAGCCTGCCGGAGGGAGGAGCCCCCATCAGAGAAGCCGCCTTTGGCAGGAGAGTCTAAAAGCTCCATTCAGGGAGACTTCCTGCAGCCCGACCAGACACAGCCACCATGAAGGGGTACTCAAGATGCCCTGAGTGGAGGGGACCAGCGCCCCAGAGGAGAGAGTCACCCCAGAGAGGCACAGAGGAGCCCAATGCTCCGTCACTAAAAATGTCTGAAATCTGAACCATCCTCCATAATTTGAAGACCAATAACCCTCCTATCCCACTGTGACGAAACATCTGCTATCACAAACTCTTCTTCCCAGAGAGATAACTATGGGGCCAAATTCACTACTGAACAAGTGTTCACTTCAAACTACAAATTATCTCTGAATCATAATCTTTAAAAGCAGGACGAGCATGACTGTGGACAGAGCAAAGACGAAGTTGCTAGTGGCACTCTCCTTGGGGCGGGGGGAGGGGGGCATGGCCCTTCCGAAGGTGTCAGCTCAGTTAGCCTGCAGGGCTGGGCGAACTTCGCCCCTGTCATACATATATTTGTCTTTTTCGTCAGTTGAGGAAAAAAAACAAACCCTGGATACAACATCTTTCCCTCCATCTTAATTAAAACATTCCAATCCCTACAAAAATAAACAACGTTGCTTCTAAAAGTCTCTTCAGAGTTATTGCGTGAGAGGTGACACAAGACTAAAGTAAAGAGAGTTAGAAGGAACCATCTGGAATGAGTTTACACAGAGTGACATCCTTTTGACTACTGTTAAAATAGCTTCCCAGCAACTGGAAAGATTTATACAGAAATACAGTCTCAGCTCAGCAATTTTGCTGTTGCTTATTTTTTTGTGTTCTTTGAAAACATATCAAAACAATATTATTTTCCATTTTTTATTATATTTTCTTCATCTGTATGTAACTTTAACTCTGTTGTTTTCTAAAGGGAATGCTTGAGAAGTAATTTAGCTGGGTGTAACATTTGAGGCTCACAGATCTTTTCTTTCAGCTCCTTCCAGATAATTATTCTGTCTTCTGGCCTCTGTTCTTGAGAACAATTACCTTTGTAGGTAAGATGCTTTTTACTCCAATGTTTTAAAGATTTCTCTTTGACTTTGATATTTGTAGCGGTAGCACAATGTAATTTGGCATGAATTTGTGTTTATTTATTCTCCTTGGGATTCATGTCTTCTCTCAATTCTGGAATTTCTCAACCATTATCTGCACATAGTTCCTCACTCTCATTTCACCTCTCCTTTCTCAGTCCTGTTAGCTGTATTTTGGGCCATTTATTCTATTCTGTGTCTTTTGACCTCTCTATCGTATTTCAATCTCTATGTTATTGTGCTGAATTTTTTAGTTATTTGCTCATATTCACCTTCCAGTTTAATAATTCTTTGTTTGGTAGCGTCTTAACTACCAAACAAATGATAGAATTCTATTTCTAATGATGGACCTATCTTTTTTAATGTAAAATTTGCTTTGAGTGATATCTCTACCTTTACTGAAGGTTTTAATGCTTTCTTTTAATAATTTTAGACTTTAAAATGTTTCGAGTTTTATTGAGACATAAGCGTCATTGCACATTGTATAGGTTTAGGCTGTACACCATGTTGATTTGATACACTCACATTTTGTAAAATGATTACCTCATGGTGCTAGTTACATAACAAACACCTCCATCTCACCACATAATTACCACTTGGTTTTTTACAGTGATAACATTAAACATCCATTCTATTGGCAATTTTCAGATATGAAAGACAGTACTATTAACAACAGTCATCACCTTGTAAGTTAGATCCCAGGAAATTATTCGTCTTATAACTGGAAGTCCTTAATCATTTTAAATGTACTTACGGCATATTCCCTTTCTGACCAGTATGTACTTAAAGCCATCCGGTCATCCTTCTTTCCTTCTTCCCTCCCTTCTTTCACAATGCTTATCCTTACTTTGGACGTTTGGCAACTGTGAGTTCATCATCTAAAATTCTCGGTTTTAATTTGCAATCATGGGGCACTGGCAATGTCTCGCCAGTGAGGAGCCGCATGTACTGCTTTGCTTTGGGGTGTGTGAGCGCGCGTGTGCATCTGTGCCACACACTTCATTTACCTTTTGCTTTCTTTTTGGAGGATAATAAAATTCCTTGCTGCACTACAACGTGTTTAATATTTCAGAAAGAATTCACTACTGTTGCCCCTGACTCTCTGGACCCTTCCAATCATCGCAATGTGTGCAAACTTGAACTTTACTTACTTTAATAACAGTTTATCTGTACCAAATGAAACTAGGGGATCTTGGGCTCTTCTTAAGGACAAACAACAGCCAGCTTTATTGAGATATAATTAGCATAACATACAAGTCACCTTTTGGAAGCAGACAATCCAATTATTTTGCTGCATTCACAGAGGTGAACAAACCATTATAGCAATAAACTTTAGGACATTTCCTCATCTGAAGAAATCCAATACCCATTACCAATCACTCCCTATTCTTCTCGACTCCCCTCCTCAGGCCTAAGTATCCACAAATCTACTTCCTGTCTCTATAGGTTGCGTGTTCCAGACTTTTCATATGAACAGAATCATGTAGCACAGGGCTTTCTGGTGTGGCTTCTCTCACTTAGCAAGATGTTTTCAAGGCCCAGCCGTGCTGCATGATGCAGCAGGCTTCCACTCCTTTGGGGCTGAGTTACAGTCCACCACGGAGTGCCCACATTTTGTCCATACAGACATTCAAAAGTTGTTTCCACTCTGTGACTGTTAGGAAAAAGGCTGTGACCAACACCCAATTTTTTGTGTAGACCATACATTTTCCACTCTTTACACTTGTGGGTGCAATTATTGGGTCAGATGTGTGTTTTACATTCTGAGGAACTCCCAGTTGCTTGAAAGTGGCTGTATATTTTACATTCTGGCCAGTAATACATGAGAGTTCCGATTCTCTCTCTGCATCTTCACTGACATTTGCTATTGTCCATTAAAAAAAAATTATCTTTGCCATCTTAGGGCTTTACTTAGGAAGTAAAGCCTCACTGTGGCTTTGATTTGCATTTCTCTGACGACTAATGACCCACAGTGTCCTTTCATGTACTCGTTTGGCCATTGTATGTCTGCTTTGGAGAAATGCCTGCTCAGAGCTTTACATAGCTTTTAATTGGGTTATTGTTCATGGTGGAGTTGTAAAAGTTCTTTTCTTTCTATAGCCTGGATACCAGTCCCTTATCAGATATATAATTTTCAAATATTTTCTACCATTCTGAAGATTGTTTTTCTTTATGGCATTCTTTGACACATAGAGATTTCCATTTTGATGAAATCTAATTTATCTACTTTTTTTTTTTCCTTTTGCTGCTTGTACTATTGGTATCTAGAACCAATTTCTCTTCTGGGAGTTTTTGGGCCATTCAGATAGTGTAAAATCAGAACCCAAACTGAGTCAGGTATAAGATCACAGTTACTATTATTTTTAATTGCTCTATGCATTTATTAGCTCATTTTATGTAGCAAGGTGGGGGGATTTTTTCCTCATCCAGAGTCGAGGCAGACACCAAATTCCCCTGACAGGTATTTTCAGTCTTCCCTTTCAAAGATGGTCTAGCTTTCAAGAACCTTGCATTTGGGGGTGGAGGTGGGGGCTCTCAGCTGTCACTCCCACTTTACACAGGTCGAGACTGAATGCTCTGTGTGGCAGAGGTCACCAAACCCCAAGAACTGAAGCCTCCAGGTTGCTCTATCCTCACTCAGCCAGGCAGCCTCAGCGCCAACAGCCAGTCTCCTGCCTGTTACTCTCTGATGCCCAGGACGTCCCTGTTTCCCTTACGGGCATATCAGTACATTTCAAATTTCAAAACAAAACACATATTTTAGCCATAATTTTCCCAGTTGGCTATAGTAGAAACTTTCTTTTCCTCTTCTTATTAAAAAAAGAAAAAAAAAATCTTTGCAGGCCTGCCCATTACTAGAGTTAGAACTGTCATCAGGATTTTCATGTTCTCTTTCACAAAGATTCACAAAGTAATAAAGCTTGTCAAAACTCCATGTAGTCATAGTCCAGGTGGCCAGTGTTTTTCAGTCTTTTATTTCTAACGTACAATTGCTAAAGCCTGAAAGACAGCTGAGGAGACAGCCCATTCGGCCTGGCTGCTTTGCAGCCCCTGTAAGTCCCAGCGGGAGGCCAGACAGCCGCCCGCCGCGCCCCGTAGGCCCTAGGCTGGGTGCGCTGTCTGGGTTCCTCAGTTCTCAGGCTCTGTTTCTCTGTGCTGCTGGTGCAGAGATCTGCCCGCTGCCCGACCCTGCGCCTTAGAGGTCAGGCAGAAATCAAGTCAAATCTGTCAGAGAACTTTTGCTCTTGGCTGAGACCACAGCTTACATCTGTGACTGAAAGTGAACCGAAGTCAAGGAAATGAACCCTAGCAACCTTCTCGTGCTCGCCATGACGGCAAGGCCAGGAGCGGACACATTTGGTGCCGTTGCTGGGAACAGGAGATGAGTCCCCAAGGATGAAGAGAAACCTCCACCAGCACTTCCCAAACCACCCACGTCATGACAGGCAGAGAAGTGACGCTGGGTTCACACCAGTGAGCTGTGGCCTGCTGCTCTGGCCCCCAGGGGTGAATGAGCCCACTCCACCTGGCCAGGGCCCCTGGAGGGCTGAGGGTCCTGCCAACCTCGGGCACACCCATGCGGCCGTACAACACCAACAGTGCCCCCAGCCAGGGTGGACACAGGGTACAGGAGGAGAAGTTGAGGGCTGGGGGCAGTGCTCCGTGGCCAGTGGATCTTGTCCTTACTTTTCAGAGCCGCCTACATCTTTGTTCCAGTCTTCCTTGTGTCTTACTGACCCCTCAGCATTCTCCACGTCCCCTTGAAGCCCCTGATGTGTTTTCTGGGTCCTTCTTTAGAACTCCTACCAGACTCTGGTTGAGCAGCAGGCTGGTCAGGCCTGGCAGTGACCAGGCTTGCAGTGACCCTATCCTGACCCCTGTGTGGTGCCTTTCACGGCACCACACAGCCAGTGCTCCCTTCCTCTCAGCTGCTGGACGTTGTCATTTTGGCGTTCCCCATTCACCCTCCTATGTGCTTCCTATCAAGTGCATTCTGATTTCTGATTTTATCTCCTAAAGCAGTTTCCAGTGTTTCAAAAGTCAATTAGCTTTGTGATTTAAAATGATGACAACAAAGGAAGCCTGCTCACACAATGTTTCAGCACGTGGACAGAAGCAGAGTTCTGGCTGGGAAGTGAGGGAGTTCCTGGAGCATTCTGTGGTCCCCAGGGTAGACACTGTCGCTGGAAGGGGGTGGGGGCCACTTGGCACCTTCCTCTCCTATGTGGGTTTTAGGAAAACCTCTCTGGTTTTGTCCCATAAGTTGGGAGTAAGAAGGCTTGCCTTGGCTTAGGAAACAGTTAAGTTCACACACACCATTAATCAACAGCAAGTCCTGAGGACCTGGAATCATAACTCCCTCCTTAGAGTCCCTACCCATGCTTGTTGAGCCTCATTGATAATGAAAATTATCCCTGATTAAAAAAATAACATTATGTGTCCAGCTGCTGGTAGAATTCATCATTAGTGGCACAGGCCCTAATGAGGTTTTAAGTAATCTGCTGTTGAGGTTGACCTAATTTCTGTGTTACAAAGCACCACCGCAAAGGAGGGACAAGCCGATGAGACGGCCGGGGTAGTAAGCTCCATCTCTCGGAGACACTCAGGCCAGGGCCACATCTACAGGCCCGAAGGGCCTTCACCTCACCTGACTCCCGCGTCCGGCCCCGCACCACCTCGCTCCAGGGCCCAGCCCCGATGGCGTTGAACGCTTGCATCTGCAGCTCGTACTCCGTCCACTCCTCCAGCTCCTCGATGGTGGACTCCCTCTCCAGCCGATCGTTGATGACTTGGGCCAGCCCCGAGGACTGCAGGTCCAGACGCCAGTACTTAATCCTGTAGCCCACAGACTCGGGGTTCCCGTTGTACTGGGAATCGGGCAGGGGCTGGAAATGGCAACAGTCGATGGTGAGCTGACATCTCAGACCATCACCATCAGAGGCCTTCAAGGATGGACTCTCTTCTGAGGTCAATTCTGTGCAAAATATTTTCTGGAAGGGACATTTCCAGAACCTTCCACTCACCCCAGGAACTTTTCCTCTATTAAGTAAATGAAATCCTGTCAGTAACTTTGAACATAATTTCTTTGAATACATTTTGGCTTAATTTTGTGGGGAAACTTTCTCATTAAATATCAGACCGGCTTTCTTACAAATACTGAGCATGGCTCCAGGTTGACCTGGCTTAAGTTGTCACAGAGCGAGGGGACAGCACTGTAACTGACTTTCTCCCCCAAAGGACAGTCCTCATTTCCTAGAAGCCAGTGAGTAACGCCATGAACTAATGAGATAGCCCAGGCTGGTCCGAGATTCAGCACTGACTGGAAAATGTAATATTTCTGGTTAATGATGAGCTCAGTTTTGGCTAGTAAAGGGCGTGGTGAGGAGATTCCTGCGTGCTGGGTCCAGGTGTGTCCCCAGCTGCTCAAGACCACTGCCCAGTCGCGAGGCCCAGACTCACCACCCAGCGGAGCCGCAGGCTGGTCTCACTAGCAGTTCTGACTGTGATGCTGGTGGGAGCCACGTCAGGAGGGGCCTGCAGTGTCCGGATGACCCGGGACGACTGGCTGAAGGGGCTGGCACCGGCGATGTTCACCTGTCTCATTCGAAACCTGGAGGCAGAATGGCTGGCAGTTATTCCGAGGCAGAAGGTACATTGGGGGGGAAGGGGGTATGTAGAACAAAACCAAACAAAACAAGCTGAGATTGTGTCTTCCTATATTGTAAAGGCCTTTGCTCAAGGGCTCCCTGGTTCCACTTGGTCTCATTAAAAATGCAAATCACATATATGTCCTTTTCCCTGAAGCCTTTAAAAAATGGTAAATAGATTGCACCTCAACAGTTTCAAGTTCCCTGGTGAAGTGTTATTGGAAAGGTCAGTTGGGCTGAGTCAGATTTGGGGTAGTTGTCAGGAGGTGTTCAAGCAGCTGTTTAACAGAATTACAGAATGTGGCCACCAAGTGACAGTTCTGAAAGTCCAGTGTCTTTTTAATGACCACAGGCACCCCCACACCCTTCTGTGGGCTCATGGCCCCAGAGCCCACACCCTGGGACTTGAACCCAATTGGTAACTGTGAAATTCAAATTGGTAACTTTGGGAAATTCAACCTGTTCCTTCTTCATCTGTAACCCAGAGGCTCTTGGATGTCTTTATGAAATGTTCTCAGTTCTACTGCTTTATTTATAGGTACAAACACTGAATTAAAGTTACAAGTTAGAAAAATATCCTAAGCACACATCTATTTATGACAGAGGTTTCCTAAACTAACATGAATAAGACAGGGACATTGATCACTAGTCACAGATTCTGATCTTTGAGATAATTATACAATCTATGCTAATTGCACACGTAAGTCCTGAATCCCAACAGGGATTTTATGCTAAATGTTTTTCTCAGAAACTGAGAATACAGCATCTTGATTCACCTGCTTTAAACTTAGATGTTAAAATGAATAGACATTAAGCAGCATCACCAGTTTTTTTTTTTTAAGTCACTTTGGTATTGTTCTGAAAAAACACTCTTCACAAAGATGCAATTTCACCTTTACTCCCTGAATTAGTCATTCTTAGTCTTTTATTCCCTGATCTTAGGAAATGTATCCGTCCTGGCAGAACAATGACATTATCAAACCCAACATCTGGTGATAACTGGAAATTTCATCTCCTTCAATGATCTTACGGGAAGTTATAACATCTCTAACAGCTCATGATGGCTCTCCCCTTTGCTAAGGCCAAGGATTTACTGCCTGGATAAGTTTCAGGATCAAGAAGCAAAAGGTTAAATGGCATGTTAATGTTTGATTAGTGTGTCTAGCAACTCCTGGACCCTGGAAGGAAAGCAGAAGGCTATTCTGAGGACACCTGCTTTGTGTATAGAAAGCATGTACACAGTCTTGAAAGGTTGTAGAGTTTCCTAAAGAAAAGTGTCCTATCCCTGACTGCCTGTGGCTCTTTCCTAGTAAGCCTAATATAATTGTGAGCCACTACTATCGAGTGTCTCATCAGCTGTTTTAGATGGAAAGAGCACTGCTAAGCTGGCTTCAGGGACATAACCCTACCTTGGAGCAAAACTGAATTGTGTATCTTCTCTGAAAGGTTCAATGCATTGCTGTGGCCACTTGGACATTGTTCACTTACCTGTGCATCTGTGGATTTTGCTATTGCAGATAAAGCCACCTGCTGGAGCCAACATGCCTGCAAAGGCTGATCACCTGCTGTCTCACCTGTAGTGAGTGTAAGGTGTAAGGTTTGGGATCTCCAGGGTCTGGGCATCGGGCTCATTCTCCTCCTCGTAGAGGCTGACCCACTCCTCCTCGTCGCCGATGGCCCCTACCTGTGAAGAGGGAGATCCTGGCACCAACTGGACAAGCCTCAGGCATGCGACTGCCTGTGCTTGCAGGCCGGGGAGAGTCACGCGCTATCTCCTACTTGTAAAGCTACATTGAGTCCTATGCAAACACACACCCCAACTTGTGCCTTGGAGATATGGGCCTGCTAAGTGGTTTTAGTCAAAAGCTGGGTCAACAGTCATCTCTCCATGCTCTCACCCTGCCCCATTCTGCCCAAACACACAGTACAACTCCTAGGATGACCATTGGAAGGCCTTTCCATGGACAAGAACTCCTGGAGTGCTCGAGGGGCCGTTATAGTTCCTTTCACGGCAAAATAACCATCTTGGGGTAGAACCGACTCTCGTCCAACAGGATGTGCCCTTTTCAGGTCTATACGAGCTCCTGCGGGAGTTGCTCTTCACTTTCTACCTCACTGAGCCTCTGGTCCTGCCCATGGACCTGCTTCTTGCTGAGTTTACCTTCATCATGAACTTTGCCTCCCCTTGGCCTGCTCAGGTGGTATTTCCATGTGGCTCCCACAGTCCATCTCACACTGCCCCATGGCGTCCTATCACTCTCACAGGACATCTTCTAATTCTGCCCATCCAAGCTGACCGCACCACTCATGCTGCCTTGCCAGAGCCACAAGGGCTGCCCCACAGGGAGCAACAGGGGTGCCTGAGATCTCTTGCTGGCCAGGATGGCCTTGGGCTCCCACGATGCAGGCTTCTGAGGCCTGTACAGGGCACTGGTGTGGCTGTGTGACCCTGGGGACCTAGGGGACACATGCAAGAAGGCTCTGAGCAGAGCAAGGGGCAGCTGCAGAAACCCTGTCAAGGCAGGGTCAGCCCAGGGCTCATGCAGTTAACACCTCATAAATGCCTTAACTAACAGCAGAGGAAATATGCTCATTAAGCTTGCAGAGAAGCTAAGCTGGCAGGTGTCCAGGTCACTGGAGGATGGCATGAGAATTTGAAATGACCTTGGTAAACTGGAGGAATGGGCATGGAGGACAAGGAGAATAAGTGAGCACAAGTGCTGGACGCCATGCTTCCCAAGGAAGGCTCCTTGCAGAACACGAAACTCGAATGACTCTGACCACTAAAACAGTTTGGAAGTTCCTCAAAGAAATGAAGCCTACGATTCCCACATGACCTAGCGATTCCACGGCCAGCATCACGCCCCAGAGAAAAGAAGCCTGGGGCTGCAGCGGGAGCGCCACACTCAGGTTCACGCTGCCCTAGGCACAGCAGGCAAACGGGGCAAGCAGCATAGATGTCCATCAGCAGGATGAACAGACAAAAACTGTGATCCATCCATAAAACAGAATATTAATGGACCATAAAAACGAACGAAGTGCTGATACAAGCTTCAGTGTGGATGAAGCTCGAAAACGTTATGTTAAATGAGAGAAGCCAGACCCGAGAGGACAATAAAGTGTGATTCCATCTCACAAAACATACAGAACAGGTAAATCCATAGACTCAGAATGCAGATTGGGGTTTGCCGGGGCTTATGGAAGGAGGGAGTGAGAATAAAGGGGTGGGGTTTCCGCTGAGGATGGTGAAATGTGTGGGAACTAGAGTTGCAAGCGGACCAACTTGTGAAGCATACACTTTAAAATGGGTGGCTTTGTGTTATGTAAATTTCACCTCTATTGAAAAAAATTTAAAATAAATGATTGACCAAAAGCTTATGGTGGGAACGATTCAGAGATCAGAGTGGATAATGAGTATCTGGGGGGGTGGGGGGTGGGCAGCAAGGCAGCTGAAAGGCCAGAGAATCAGGACCAGACCACGCAGCGTGCCCAGAGGAACACAAGCACCTCGACCAGGTGGGCTGGGTTTCTCCCCTCCCCCACCCCCACACCGTGGTCCGTGGCGAAGCCTTCCTTAGAGGCACGGAAATGAAAGAGAGATAAGGCAAGACCATGTGGACAGGTGAGGGTGTGGAGAGCGCCTGTGCCGCAGGGGGCTGGGGGCCAGTCCAGTCTGGCTGGACGAGTTCTAGAAACCAAGTGCATCCCCTGGGGTGGACGGCGGGGGCCGGGGACCATGGTAGCTCCTGCTTCCCTCCACCTTGTCCACAGAGGAAGTGGAGACCAGCAGTGCTGAGCATGCCTAGGGCCGCATGACCCTCGCAGGCAAACAGGGATGAGCCTCCCATCCCCTCAACCCATGACTGGGGTCCCCCGGACAACAGGGGTGCTCCCGTCCACTCAGAGGCCTGCCTCTGCTTTTACACGTTTGGCAGAGTTATCTGAGGGATGAATGGACAACAAGCTAATAGGGAACTGCAGGGCTGGAAGAGATTATTCTTGCCTTTCCGCTGGACAAGACCAAGGCTCAAGAAAGAGACTTGTCCCCCGGCTTGTCCCAGCTTGGGAGGGCTCGGGCATGTGGAGGGCGCCGGGTGGAGGAGATCATGCAGAGCAGCAGAGGGAGGGTACACGGCAAGCCCCGCCTCTGCGGGGTGTCTGATAGGACCCCAGGATGGGGAAGGGGAGCGTGCTGGGGCCAGAAATTGGGGGAGCCATAATGAACCCCACAATTGATTTGCCAACTGGTTCCATTTTACAGTAAATTGTTAGCTACATTTATGAATCCTGTAAAGCAAAAATGCGAGCAAATTCAGTTGAATTGTGAGTGACAAGGGAACTCAGCAAAGTTTCAGTGGTGTCAGAGCGCGAGGCGATGCAGGTGCATGCTCTCAGTGAAAGGAATCCTCTGGATATTAAGCCAAAGCACCTGTGCAATATCTTGAAAAACACAGTTTAGGGGAAAAAGGAAAGGAAGACAAACAGAAAAAGGGCTGATTTCAGGGGTATGGCAGTCAGCTCCAGAACTCTGACTTACCACCAAATCCCTCGTCTCAGCCAGGGCGGATGCTGCTCAGTGCGCTAAGTGGTGGAGGTGGGCGCAGGGCGCTTGGCCCCTGGGCGCTGCCGGGCCCTTGTGACTGTGGAGCTTCTGATGCTCTTACTTTGTGCTCACAGGAGGGCAACAGAGGAACGGCAAGCTCCAGGGGCTCTCCAAGCCCAGGCCTCACTGTGCGGCGTCCTTTGCAAAGCCATGCCCTTCTCCTTCCTCTTTGCAACCCTAGCCCTACTCTTTCATCTGGGACAGTACTGGAGCTCCCCTGGGGGCAGGCCCTGTGAGCACCCCTTGCTCTCCCACTCTTGGCCTGGCATGTACTGATTGTCTGTACAGCTGACTAGTGGGCCTGGTGCCTGTCCGACCCTGTGGGCATCCACTGGCCTGTTGGGGCAGCCAGCACTTGGGAGAGTGCTCTTGGCTGCCTGGGCTGCTGTGGGTTGATAGGGTTCAGAGTGCAGTCTCAGCAGGGTCAGTGGCCCTGGTTTTCAAAGCCTGTTCTACCCACATGGCCAAGAGGACTGGAGACTGGCCAGACCTCTGATGGCCCCATGGGAGAGGCCTGCAGGCATTGGCAGGGCACAAGATGGGCAGGAGGCAAGGATCGGCAAGTGGGCCCACAACTGTCTTAGCAAAGACCTGGGGGGCAGCAAGATAATGACGCTCTACATCATCTTTACAAGCGGGAATGAGCGCCTGCCCTGGAGAGCCTCTGACTTTCCTGGTAGAGTTCCAAGGCCCTGCCATCATCAAGCAGATGACTCCTAACTTTCTTCGAAGAGGTCACTTCTAGTTAACTGTAGGGCTCTGTACTGCTGAGTGTAGCTACAACTGGAGGGTCAGGACCATCGGGCTGGGACAATGGAGAGCCGCTGAGGCCGACACAGGTCAAACTTCCATGCCTTTCCCTCCAGGGCTTGGTTACCTTTTGTAAAACTTGGATTTGAATGGGTGCCACAAACTGGCAAGCCAGGTGGGTGCCACGCGGCTCCATTTGGCACCTCCTGCCTCTTCTCCCTGTAGTTGCAGTTTGTCATTACCTGGAGGTATCAGATAGACTGAAACACCTGTTCCCTGCAAATGCTCTTCCCTCGCTCTAAAATGTGCCCACCCTGTCTGCTCCTTCTCTACGCAGCTGGCAAACTCCCTCGGAATGGGGAGAGCATCTGGGCCTTCGGGAAACCTCCGCGAACAGCATGCCCTTGCACTCCACTACTCCCCAGCCAGGTTGTCAGATGGAATGTGGTAATTCTGTGCTCTCCCAGCATCTTCTACCTTCCTCTGATCCAGTGCTGATTGTATCTGTCAAAACATTCACTTAAAAGCATGACTCTCATACAAATACATAATGTGCATTGAAGATGCATTTTGCTCACTAATGAGGGAACAAGCAGGGTAATAAAGCTGGTTCAGGGAGTGTCAAAGTATGTAGAATCATGAAAGACAGAAGACAGCATAGGGCTCCAACTAGAAATGACACAGGTCCGGTTTGCAACTTTCATCTTCTACACCATAGTGTCCAGCTCCGCAGTGAGGGCCAATTAGTAATAGTGAGGCGAGAGAATGATGAGCCTGAGGCAGATGTCCCTCCAGCAGGCTCATCGAACAGGTCCTCGGACAGGCGTCAGCAAACTGTGCCATGGACCAAATGGGCCCACCTCCTGCTTTTGCAAATGAAGTTTTATTGGAGCATGGCCACGCTCACTGGTTTGTGTCTTGCCAACAGCCACTTCCATGCTCCATGGTAGAGACGGAGTTGCAGCAGGAACAATTTGGCCCGATGGCCTAAAGTATTTACTGTCTAGCCCTTTATAGGAAAAGTATGCCGGGCCCTGCAGGAGCGTGCCCTGTTGCAGGGCCATGCTCAGCATGAGTGGCCCAAGGCAGGCCCAGGACTGGCTCATCACAGTACCCCAAGCCTCTCCCAGGGATCTCCCGAGGTCCAGTTCAAACCGGGGTCCATCCTGTTGGTTTTGCACAGATACCAAGTGAACACGTGCAAGATTTCAAAATCTGAGCTCCAGAAGCAAATTATTGCTGAAAGTATAATTTTGCATATAGGTCTCTGGGGGAAAACTAAAGTTTCTACAATAAAAGGTTTACGTTTTGATCTGAGAGACCAGGCTTCT